TCTCAATGTTTTATTGTATTGCTTCATTGTCCGTTTGAGTTCATTGTAATATCTGGAATTTTAGGAGAGGTATGATTACACTGATGTAGAGGTCTTCAAACTTGACAGGTTTAAGACTTGTGGACATCAACTCCCAGAATTCGTCCTCCAGTCATGTTAGCTCAGGAATTCTGGGAGTTGCAGTCCACAAGACTTAAACTTGCTAAGCTTGAAGACCCTTGCTCTAATGGGAGGCATGAAGGTAAAGAATTTTAGAAATCCCTGCTCTTGAGCAAGGTGGGGGAAAGATGGAGGGAGAAGTGGTAGCATTTCCTTTCCTTTTATGGAAGATGAAAATGACCAGGTGGGGAATACTGGCAGAATGGAGGCTTGTTAGAGACTGAATATAGGAACACATCAACGTCAGATAGCCATAGCCCAAAACTTGGACTTCTTCAATTTCTCCAAATTAAACCTTCTCACCACACATTGAAGATGTCTTATGGCCTTTGCAAGGCTAGGTTAACAACATTTGAGAAGACATAATTGATAACCACATGTGTCCTGGCACAACAGAGAGGTGGCTATCATTTGAAGGTTGTCACTTCCTGCATGTCTATGGATGAAAAGCAACATGTCTTCAAAGAAACTCCAGTTGTCTCTTGAAAAAGAACCTTTGGGTCACTTCCTGCAGTTTTAATCATCATCATGATTCTATCAAGGTTGGAACTGCTTCAGAAAAATTGGGAGCCACTCTTCATCCTTCTGTGCCCCTCTTTCACTGCCCCTTCCCCCAGTGTGGCCAAAGGGACTGCAAAGGAAAAGATGACATTCCTAAAATAACGGTGGGGGCCCCTTAGTTGCTTTGAAGGCACTTGACTGGATATGGCTCTTTTCACACAACTCCCGAGAACAGGATAGATAAACCTGTTTAAGGGAGTCTTAAGGAAGATCTTCATTATATACAACTCTCAGCCTACTTGATGGGATTTATTCAGTACATTCTTGACATTCTGGAGTGAATAACCTCAAGTGCTGATGATCCCAGCCTTTATCTTAAGAAAGGCACATATTATTCTTTCGGTCAGTTTCCATTGGACTAGTCAATATTTGGTTATAGGTAGAACAGCAACAAACAGGAACAATCCAGTGAAGGCAGGATAGCTTTGGTTTTCACCTCTAATGTTCATCCAGCTCTTGATGCCGCCTTTGAGTCTAGTGTTTATTTCCTTATCTGCTTACTCTGATCCCAAAGATTATGTCTGAGGAAAACCGACTTTCATAGGTCAAGTACCTTTCTTATTTCTTGAAAAAAGGTCTTGGCCAAAGAAAGGTGAGCAATGTTCTTCCGATGTAGAGACATCACTGGGACTCCTTTGATTTGTGAAAATATTTTCTCCCAGATGCCTTTGGGGTTTGGTTAGCTGATGAGCGATTGCAAAATCTGGGACTCCTTTCAGTTGTGAACATATTTTCTCCCACATGCCATTCTGGGTTTTATTAGGCAATGAGAGATTGCAAACTTTTTTCCAAGCCACGAGTCACGCTTGGCACATGGTAGTTCAGCTCAACTGGACAGGAGTTTGAAACATTTTATTCAACTTCTTCCATTTACCTAACCCACAGAGGTAGAATTTTCATAACCTTTATTGTCATCATTTTTTCTGTAAACACACTGGCACACATTAAAAATGAAATTCTGGTGCCCACTCTCAAAAGGCATATATCAAAGGCATATATACAAAAAGTTCTCTGTCTCTCTTTCTCTCTGTGTCTCTGTCTGTCTCTTTCTATCTCTCTCTGTCTCTGTATTTCTCTCTGTCTCTGTCTCTCTCTATCTCTGTCTTTCTGTCTGTCTCTGTCTCTCTCAGTCTATGTCTCTATCTGTCACTCTCTGTTTCTGTCTCTCTGTCTCTCTTTCTGTCTCTGTCTCTCTCTATCTTTCTGACTCTCTGTCTCGCTCTTTCTGTCTATCTCTCTGTCTCTGTCTGTCTCTCTCTGTCTGTCTCTGTCTATCTCTCTGTCTTTCTGTCTGTCTCTATCTATCTATCTATCTATCTATCTATCTATCTATCTATCTATCTATCTATCTATCTATCTATCTCACTGTCCATTTTGTATACATAGCAGAAAGAAGAGACTTGAGAGTTCACAAGGTTCATACTACAGGTAGTCCTTGACTTTCAACAGTTCATTTAGTCACCGTTCAAAGTTACAATGCAACCTTTGCAGCATCCCCACAGTCTCATGATTTACATACAAATGCATGACAACTGGTGTTCATATTTATGATGGTTGCAGTGTCCCAGAGATCATGTGATCTCTTTTTGTGACCTTCTGACTAGCAAAGACAACGGGGGAAGCCAGATTCACTTAACTACCAGGTTACTAACCTTATCAGCTGCAGTGATTCACTTAACAACTGTGGCAAGAAATATCATAAAATAGGGCAAAAGCCACTTAACAAATTTTTCACTTACCAACATAAATTCTGGGCTCAATTGTGGTCATAAGTCAAGGACTATCTCTATATGGAACAAAGCTATCAGTGTATCTCTAGACATTCTGATTTGGATACTTCGAAGTCTCCTCTCAGAAGATAAAAAGGGAAATTGGTTATGGAGAGGATGTGTAGAAAAGAGTGAGTCTGGCCAGTGGGGAAAATGATGACCTCTATAACTATATTTGACCTTACTTATAGTAGATAACTTTTCTAAATGTAAGATATTCATGCAGGACATCTCTGGGGTGGGAAGGGATGGTCAACTATAATAAGATGGCACCTAAAGTATTAAAATTTGTACTTACCTGATCAAAACTCTGGTTTTTGTGAGCAATGTTAAATAGGTTTTGAAGCTTCATTGGCATCATGTCTTTCTGTGACCCTTCCTTCCAGTGGATTCTTATGCTGTGGCAGGACAATTATGGTAGCTTTTTCTTTTATACAAAAATATGTGTGTCTGTGCACATACACAAACACATTATGTATGCTCAGTCCATCGTGAAAAACAAATTGTTTTGCATGTGACTTATTCAAAAATAGTCACTAATATTAATCTCGTCTTGGTTTAAGATAAGCAACTCTGTTTTCTTTAGTCTGTGTTATCCCCACTATGACAGTGGGGATTTTAATTGTATTTAATTTAATGGTATTTAATTTCATTGTACGAGGTGCAATGACAATAAAGTAAACTAAACTAAGCTAATTTTCCATACTGCAGCCTTGTGTTAAGGCTACCTAACTGGACTGCAATGTTCCCGAGCTCCACCAGATGGCAGGAAAGTGAAATAGAAGATGGTAATGCAGATATGCCCTCTTATTTAGCATACGATGAGAACATGACAAAAGAGAAGTAACCATATATATGCACAATCCTCATAATTATATACAAAACTTCTACAGGAATATAGCAGTAGCCTCATAACTGGATGCCCAATTTAGTAATCCAGGCAATCGCCTCTGGCAGCGGCTTTGTGCATATCTTCTAGAGCAGGGCTGTCAAACTTGTGTCAATATGTGACATAGCGTGACTTTTTCCCCATTCGCTAAACCGGGCATGGGTGTGGCCGGAGTGTGACACATCCAGTCCAGGGGCTGCGAGTTTGACAGCCCTGTTCTAGAGAATCAGAGAATGCACATGGTAGGCAATCTTGCACACTATGTTTAACAATTTGCATGTCACCAGCACAGTTGCAACAAGGCAGGGGTGGGCTGCTGGGGGCTCGGGGGGGCTCAGGAGAGCCCCTAGCTAAGACTCTGCAGGGCTCGGAGAGCCCCCAAATAAGCTCAGAAAGACAAGCAGCAAGGGAAAGCTCTTAATAGGCTTAATTGAACCTCTGGGCATTCAGCCAAGAGCATTTCACACCTTGTAAAAGTGTTGCAAGCTAGATAAACAATCCACTCAGAGGCAGAGCCACTGAGAAAATCAGATAACATAGCCACTAGCCTTGGAGGGGATTAATTCCCAAATAATAAGAATGATGTAACTCACCAGAAACTCCACTAAGACTCCAAGATCCCTCTCACAGTCACTGCTATTAAGCCTGGTTTCGCCCAGTCTTTTATTTAAGTATTAAATGCACAAAATAATAAACAACTTTTTGGTATATATCTTTTTTTAGGTAATTAGGGCAAAGAAGGAAAATTGAGTTGGCCACGCCCACCCACCCATATGGCCACCCAGCCACGCCCACCCACCCAGTCATTAGGGCAGAGAGCCCCTTGCTTAAAAAAAAATTGAAGCCCACCCCTGCAACAAGGGGAAAACTTTCCATCCCCACTGATACAGGATAGAGGCACTTCTTCCAGTATCACACTTAATTCTGTTTCATTTTGACCAGACAGAGCAAGGCAGGTTAAAACCAAGTGGTTGGTAGAGATATCACTAATGGTCAGGCCAGAAGAAGGCACCATTCCTCTCTCCAGGGAGTCTCAAGGTTAACTTGCGTAGATGCTAAGTGAATACAGGTAGTCCTCAAATTATGACCACACTTAAGCCCAACTTTTATGTTGCTAAGTGAAACATTTAAGTGAGTTTGTCCAATGTTATGACTTTTCTCACCACACTTGTTAAGCGAATTGCTGCAGTTGTTAAATTAGTAACACTGTTGTTAAGTGAATCTGGTTTTCCCATTGACTTTGCTTGTGTGAAAAGGGCTCATAACTCACTTTTTTCAGTGCCATTGTAACTTTAATAGTCATTAAATGAAGTGTTGTAAGTCGAGGACTACCTGTATCTAGTTTCCATGCTGTTTTACAGGATTTCAAAAATAGTGGTGCCCTCTAGTGATGGGTTATATTTTTGCAAGCCAAATCTCTAGCCCTATTTTTAAATAATCTCATGGTTTCCCTATCTTTGCAAATCTTTGCAAATTTTCAGCTCATTTCTGAAGTCTGAATCTAAGGTGTTTTTCCCTAAAGGAAAGGGTATCACTATGGGAATTGTAGTAAATAAATTATCCTAAGTCATCCAAAGAGAATATAAAAACTCATTAAACTAACAATGTTATTAATGGTTGTATATTTATTGCCCAAAACAACAGGGACTTCTAAAACTTTGAATGAAAAAGCAGATAAAAAAAGATATTTACTTTTAAATAACAACAGTAATAGTAATAGTCATAATAGAATGCCATTCTGTTTGTAAACAAAGACTTTATTGCATGAAGCTGCTGGAGGAAAGACATTCAGGCATAAGCTATAAATTGATATTTTCCGCTTTCCATCACTCCCAGAAATAATAACATATAGTTTCATTCTTGATTTTCCATTAAACATTTGGCGATAGAGGTGAAAACATCCAGACTGATAATCTTATAGAAACTTTAGGTTAATCAGGAATCAATCTGAGGAAGAAATGGCTCAGAAATTCAATTCTTTCTCTCTTTTTTAAAAATATCTATTTCTTTAAGAAAATTTTTTTTTAAAGAAAACTGCCTTAAATTTTAATTTAATTTGAAAATTTAAAATTAATACAATTAATTTTATTTACCTAATATATTTTAATTGAATTAAAATAAAATAAATTTAATTCTAATTTAATTTATGCTTTTTACATTATATATTTATAACAGAAGTTCAGAGCACCTGTTTTTCCAGATACCTAAAATTATACTTCAATTCAACCAATCAATTTTTATTACCATCACAGACCAGCATTATGCTTCAAAAGATATTTCTCTAGGAAGGAAAGCTTTATTTTAAAATGAAAGATGGCTATGCAAAACATTTCCCAGCAGAGTTTGGGGGAGAGAAAGTGATATTTTTGTTGCTTTCCTTGCATGCAGTCAAAAGCAGAAGAAGAAAGAAGCAGCCCAGTGGCCAGGTGTGTGGAGCGAGAAGGGCAAGTTCCCTCCATCTGCCCTTTCCCTCCTCCCTCACTATCTCATGTTGTTTGCAATTCAAGTGATGCAAGCCTTGTGTTCCCACAGGCCATGTGGGTGGCGCAGCCTTGTGTTCCTATGCAGCTTGGGGGGGTGTTTTGGGGGTGACATTTCTCTGTGGACCATCAAAATTTTCTCATAGACCACCAGTGGTCCCGGGCCCACTGGTTGGCAACCACTGTATTAGATCATAGTAAACATTCAGACCTGACTAGTTTTCAGACCTGGCCATTTTAAGACATGTAAACTACAACACCTAATATTCCCCAGAAGATTTTCTATATCACTTTGCAGCCATCTTTTGGTCACCAGGTTCAAATGCAGGCTTTCTATAGCTCAGATCCCCCACAATTGCATTGGGACTACACCCCCCAGAGTTCCTGTCAGCCATGTCCCCAGTTCCCATCCCCAGCTTATCTAAAACAGTTGGAGAGGAAGACTGAAAGGAGAAGAGAAGGCAGGTAGAAAGAAATGAGAGAAAAAAGAGCAAATTGTAACTGAAATATACCATTGCACTAAAAATAGGACTTGGAATCCTCTTGGCTTCTAAAGCAGCAGAAGATATATAATCCCTAACTAGCCACCATGGCCAATGGTATTTCTAAAGAGCTTGTTTGAAATGCACTGGCAGGCCATTTACACAGGCAACCTGGACCCGCTGGGTGCTAAACCTGCCTCGGTAGTTACAGTTTGGAGGCGTAGTTCCTCCCCCTGTCAAACGGCAAACGGTGAGCTCAAAGGCACTAATGCTGTTGTAGTAATTATCACTTGAGTAAATCCCCCCATTGTTGCAGATGGCATCCACTGCTGTGGCTTCCCCATGAATGAAGGTGTTGGAAGGTTTGCACTTGACGTTCGTCATTCCTCTTTGTTGCATCATCAGGTTGCAATAGAGCCGGGCATCCAATCCGCTATTGGCAGCAACATGCTGCCGGTGGAATTTGCCATGACGGGTTTCTCTCTGGGAAAGAGTTGGCAAGGATCCCAGCAGCAATGCCACAAAGAGCACCAACACCGAATAGGCCAACATCCGAGGCATGGTGTCAACTACACCTAAAAGAGAAAAGAAGACAGATCACAGAATTGATATTGGGGTGGTCTAGTTGCCTCTTATAAAAGCACCTTTGGGACAACTATGACCTGGATGACTGAGAATCTCCATAGACAGTTAGCTTTGTTCTGACCCAGCATTCGCAGAAGCAAAAAACAGACTCCTCACAAAGAAATCCCCCTCTTTATTTACCTCTTGTGAATTAATTGCATTCACCAACTGAGAGTCCAGGCAAGAGTCCAACAAGGAGTTAACTGCAGCAATAGACCTTATCAGTTTATTATGATAATTGCAAGGCCAGGGAGCTCCCAGCCAAAAGGCTGCAAATTAAGTTGTGGCAAGGCAGTCTTTGTTGCCTGAAACACAATGAGCAAAATTTGCAGGAAGTGGGTATGTCTGGTTTAATTAAAAGAAGGACCAGAGGAGACATGATAGCAGTGTTCCAATATCTCAGGGGCTGCCACAAAGAAGAGGGAGTCAAGCTCTTCTCCAAAGCACCTGAGGGCAGGACAAGAAGCAACCTAGATGGAAACTAATCAAGGAGAGAAGCAACCTAAGAACTAAGGAGAAATTTCCTGACAGTTAGAACAATTCATCAGTGGAACAACTTGCCTCCAGAACTTGTGAATGGTCCAACACTGGAAGTTTTTAAAAAGATATTGGACAATTATTTGTCTGAAGTAGTGTGGGTATTCCTGCCTAGGCAGAGGGTTGGACTAGAAGACCTCCAAGGTCCCTTCCAACTCTGTTATTCTATTCTACGCTACGCTACGCTATGCTACCCAGTGCTATGCTATGCTATTCTAAAATCTCTAGAAATGTGAACTGTTGTCTCCTACGACCACCACTCCCCTTCTATTTATTCCCCAGCCAGGGAGGGGCCCAGCATCCATGTTTGTTTTGCTGAGTTGGAATAGGCCCCAGCTGTTCTTCCTCCTCACTCATCTCTGACTCCAAAGGCAGCTGCCTCTCTGGCAGCTGAGAAATGCCAGACGGCTCTGGCTCTATCTTAGTGTCCGATGCTGAGCATCCATCAGACCCTTCCCCATGCTCCAGAATTGGCCCAAGTTCTCCCCAACCTCCTCATCGCCTGAGCTTGCTGGCAGACCATAATAGCTACAGTATGTACTTTGGGATGCACACCCTTCAAATGGTGCAGGGGCATGAACAGATTTTCAGAAAAATTACAGACTACAGGAACCATTTTGCACTTCAGATGCAGACAGCACAGACTCATGAAGTGATTTAGTGGGTAAGGAAAAAATAAAACACGAAAACTTGTTACTTAACAGTTGTTATGTGCCAATTTTAGGAGGACTGCTGGGGACGGGACTTGTGTACAGCTAACATCTTTTGAGATGCAGACTGCACAGACTCATCCCCAACAGGTTGTGTCTGGGCTCAACAGTGAAGGGACACAGAGCAGAAAACATCCTGCAAGAAAGCACAGCTCCAACTTCTCAATGAAAGAATAACAGAGATTAATTTCACATCAGAAAGTCCAGTTGCCTCATGAAAAAGCACCTTTGGGAAACCATGAGCTGCAATGTTGAGATTCAATTTTTTTTTACTACTGGTTCTGTGGGCATGGCTTGGTAGGCATGGTTAGGTGGGCATAGCAGGGGAAAGTACTGCAAAAATCTCCATTCCCTCTCCACTCCAGGGGAAGAATACTGTAAAATCCCCTCCCCACCCCACTAACCTGCTTTCCAGCTCCGTTCTCCTGTGCAGGGCAACCAGAGAAGATCCAGCTGATCAGCTGGGACTTGGGAGACAGAGAATAGATGGGGGTGGGGCCAATCAGAGATGGTTTTGCTGGTTCTCCCAACTACTCAAAATTTCCGCTACCAGTTCTCTGAAACTGGTCAGAACCTGCTGAATAGCACCTCTGATGAAATGCTGGATGACTGAGAATCTCTATAGATATTGGGGTGAGGTTTGTACCTTAAGCTATCCATCAGCATAAACCCAGATAGTTTTGGATTTCCAGAATTTATGAAGAGGCTTAGATGGTGCAATGGTGGCTAAGTGGCTGGATGCAAACCACTGCCATGTTCCTCAAGCATTGGCTGAGCTGTTCCGATATTCTTCGTCTTAGATAGACATTCAATAAAAGATTGTTACAACAGAATAGCTTCTAGGAAGGAAATGAAAAATCAATTCACTGGAGTATATTTTTTCCTAGAACGGACAGTGGCAAAAACAAAGCAATGCCAAAAATTACAACTGATTAGAGGTAGTCCTTGATTTACAACAGCCCATTTAGTGACAATTCAAAGTTGCAACAGCACCAAAAAAAGTGTCTTATGACCATTTTTCACACTTATGTCCATTGCAGCATCGCTTCAGTCAAGTGATTAAAATTCAGATGCTGTAATTAGCTCTGACAAGAAAGAGCTTTGCCAAGCTGTTCTTCAAGGCTGCCAAAAACCCATAGATAAGAACTAATTTACAAGAATTTGCAAATACTAACTATGATGTCAACAAGGCTGAGCTTCAGAGCGTCTTTGCCTTCTGCAAAGAATGCTTCTTCAAACCTGGCTTTTATCCTCTTGAGGGAGGGGCCATTATCTTGCAGCCTTACTCCCGAGTCACCCAGGCTGTTGTATCTACTCTCTCCTACGAGCAATCCTGTGCACATGCGCACTTGGCATAGGCTCCTCGGGAACCTCCTCATCACTGCTGCCAGCCCCCACAGTCTCTGAAGGCAGCAGTCCACTCCCTGATGGTCCTGGCCCCTCATCTGTCCTCGGTCTTCTCCACCATCCACACCTGCTTCCAGCTAACCACAACAGATGCTTGGCAACTGACTCAAATTTGTGAAGATTACAGAGTTCAGGGGTCATATGATCCCCTTTTGCAATCTTCTGACAAGCAAAGTCAATGGGGAGGCTAGATTCATTTAACAACTGTGTCACTAACTTAATAACTGCAGCGATTCACTTAACAACAGTGACAAGAAAGTTCATAAAATGGGGCAAAAACAGGGCTGGGTTTCAAAAATTTTAGCAACGGGTTCTCTGCCTGGTTGCTAGGTGGGCATGGCCAAGGTGGGCGTGGCCTAGTCAGCCTCCTGCACCATAGTTGGAGCGGCATTGATATTTTCCTTACTACTTTACTATTGCAGTACTACGTTAGCAACGTTTTTATTTTTACTGGCTTTGATCTTGTTGAGATAAGTGAAGTATTTGCTGGTGCACTGCTGACAATTTTGTATCCAAGTAACTCTGAGCTGGAAGTGAGGGAAGAGAAAGTTGGCTAAAGATTGAAAGAAAAAGAAAAATGATACTAGTAAGTTTATTCTATTAATCACTCATTTCTGTACCCTTTAAGATTAAGCTGCACAAAATCCCTAGTCTTACAGAACATTTCTTTATAAAGTATTCATCAATCTTCAATAATATGTCTAACAGCAGGAGCAATTAAAAACATTAATCAAAGCAATAAAGGAAAAAATCAATAAAAGTAGATATCAAATACCCTTTGAAAAAGAAGAAATAAAATTCTATTTATTGACCTAAAAAAGTAGCTCACATTAGGCATTGTTCACTACATGCTGTGCTTCTATTCTTCAGTAAACTTCCTTTCTTGGATGACTAAAAAACTACATATCAGTGGCTTGTTTCCTTAGAAGTAGCCTTTCTTAGAAATTCCCTGCATAAGATTTTGAAGCAAATGCCCTCCCTGCTTAACATTCCCCCGGAGTACTTGCAGGGATTTAAATGTCTATTTCCCTAAACATATATCTCTGAACTATACCCCACTCTGGTGGGATTCAGTGGTGGGATTTTAAAAAAATTACTACCAGTTCTGTGGCTTGGTGGGTGTGGCAGGGGAAGGATACTGTGAAATCTCCAGTCAGAGGTGGTATTTGCCGGTTCTCCGAACTACTCAAAATTTCCGTTACCAGTTCTCCAGAACTGGTCAGAACCTGCTGAATGCCACCTCTGACTGCATTTGAAATATATTTCAAATGGCAAGGAGTACTTGTACAAACTTCCTTTCTTAAGCAGCCTCCTTTTTATTCCCTGCTTGGAACTGAACCAGATGTATTTTCTCCCTGCACTTAAAAACCACAAGCTTCCAGGAGGGTATTTGAAGAAGAATCAAATGAACAGGAAGAAAAAAAGAATGGAAAGGCAGAATTTGAATGCAACCCCATGGTTGCAGAGCAAACAAAGGGTAGAAAGAAATTTTCAGATCTCCTAGCCCAATTATTCCAGACTGTGGGCAGAAATTAATAGATTTGAACCAAACCTGGGAAATGCATTTAGATGTCAAAATGGGGAAGAAGCAACTTCTGCTCTACAGAAACTGAAGTGGAAGCTAGAAAGATGCAGTTGAGGATCCCATGGAATGCACTGGAAGCAACAAACAAAATGTTCCTTCCAACTTTTCTGATTGTTCATCAAGGTTGACCAGGAGGTCGGCCTAGATGCCTTCAAAATGTTTCTGTCCCTTCTGATTTTTGATTTATCTTCCCGTTTTATCCACCATGTCTCAGAGAAAAACTTTTAGACATTTTAGGAACTTACCCAAAACTCTGAGGCTGGGTCGCTCCCCCTTTTGATTTTTCTCAGTTGCTTTGCAGGGAAAAAGCAAGCACGGCTTTCTCTGTGAGCTGTTTTTTCTCCTTTGTAGAGGTGGGTGGAGACAAAGAGAAAGGAAGAAAACAAGTTTCCCAAAAATCCTAAAATGCCAAAATATTTTGCAATTGGGCCTCTTGTGGGAAGGCAAGACCATCGAAGAAGAAAGTTGTTTCTAAAAAAGTTATTGCTTGTTATCAAGAACATCTGGGAAATAATTACATTATTTCTGTAAGTTCCCTTGATGTGTTGGAATGTTAACTCTGTAATAATAAATTAGGCAATAATCATGGTCTGTTCAGCAACTGACAAAGTTCAAGTTAAAGAAAACATGCTAATTTAACGTTTTCTCTTTCAACAATGGAAAGAAAAAACATCTGGAAGTGATTTAGTGGGTGAGGAAAAAATAAAACAGGAAAACTTGTTACATAACAGTTGTTATGTGCCAATTTTAGGAGGACTGCTGGGGATGGGACTTGTGTGCAGCTAACATTGAGAAAAATGAAAGCTCCATCTTGAAAATAATAGTAAATTTGCATAGAGGACAAAGATGATCACTTGACCTCAGGACATGGCAGCCATCACAAATATGAACCAGCTGCCAAACGCTCCAATTTTGATCACATGATCATGGGGATGCTGCAATGGTTGTAAATGTGAAAACAAACATAAGTCACTTTTTCAGAACCATTGTAACTTTGAATGGTCACCAAACAAATGGTTCCAAGTCAAGGGCTTTGTTGGAATTCATTGTTGGAATGTATTTTTATGCACCAACTATAGAATGGTGTTTCTTCAAAAAGAAGTCTGGGTCTTATGAGTGCGCCACTCACGCACATCGCCCTGGCCTCTGTTTCGCCTTCAGATGCCTTCTGGAAAGCCCTCTGCAGCCGATAATAGAGCTATGGATCTATGGATCGATCAGGAGCTCTGTAATTGGCTACAGAGGTCTTTTCAGAAGGGATTTGCAGACCTGTTATCAGCTGCAGGGGGTTTTCTGGAAGGCATTTGCAGAGTTCTGTTAGCTGCTGCAGAGGGCTTTCTTGGAAGGCTTTGGAAGACAAAATGGAAGTTGGGGCAATACGTGCAAGAGGTGGCAAGCAACTGCGGAAGCAGCCACCAAAGAAGCAGCCACCAAAGCAGCGGCCATTGAAGCAGCGGCCACCGAAGCAGTGGCCACAGAAAAAGCTGAGGAAGGTGTCAAAGTGTATGAGGCCTGGTAAGTAGGGCAGCTCCATGCCCCCTACCCCACCCTAGGTTATTTTTTACCTGTGTGCCTCACCCTACACTGTGAACCCCAGGGTGGGCAAAGTCTGAATTAGGGCTAATTTTGTGGGTGGGGTTTAATTTGATTGCATGCACTCAAAAATGTGATAAGGCTTTTTTTTCAAAGAAAAGAAACATGGTAGTATTCAGCCAGTAGATGGTAGTGTTTCAAATTTGGATCTGTGGTATATACTTTATGCGTTTTTGTTCTAAATAGAGTTTCCTGTTTCATGTTACAATTAAAATAATTGAGCAGTAAAGCACACAGTGACTGGACTCTTTGTTTGCTCTGTGGCACTATATATAAACAGCATTTCTACTGTACTGGATAGCAAGAGATGATGTTATAATTTTATTATGATGTTATGTGCTACAGACTACTTAGTATTCTCTGTAGTTTGCTAATATATAGTCAGCACATTATATTAGTCCAGATGGAATGGCTAATCCATGGTTTGGTGCTAAAGCAACAGGGTTAATTTAATTTGGTGTGGTTTAGGGAACAGGTGAGCTCCTGTGCAAATACTGCCCATGTTTGGAGATAGTCTCTAAAAAGCCAAGCTGGAACAGAAGCAAACGAGAAAATAGTTCAAAACCCTGTTTCTTTACTTCTACCCCCTTCACCTACAACTACATCACAGAGGTGATATGTGGTGGGAGGTGGTACAAAGCAGAACACTCCATAACTCTTTTAAGGGTATATCTAATACTTATGTAGCTTATCCTTTTTCTTGGCAAGATTCTAAGCTTGAACAACAATAAACTACTCTGAAGTAACTCCTTAAAGTAACTTCCCAAAGAGCAAAGAGGCAGTTCAGTCTGGAGTCCTTGGTATGAAGCAAAATGAGGACACTCTCCAACCTTTTTCAGTGTGTGTGTGTGTAATTCTGATGCAGATTTGTGTAGGTGAACAATAATAAAGAAACTATTCTAAGTCAGGGGTCTCCAACCTTGGCCACTTTAAGACGTGTGGACTTCAACTTCCAGAATTCCTCAGCCAGCTTTGCTTCTGAATTCTGGGAATTGAAGTCCACAAGTTTTAAAGTAGCCAAGGTTGGAGACCTCTGTTCTAAGTAGCTGCTTGTATTGCCCTTGGTTCTTTGCACCTTGAATAATATAAGGAAAAATGGAGTTACAATAGGTAAATCTTCCCCAATTCTGTTTGAAGTGATGTCAGCCATTGTGATATCTGAGTGTCTTTCTAAGATAGCCACTAGGTCTAAGATTGCCTGACACTGGTTCACCAGGACTTGTATACAGCTAAAGCATGTTAATCATACTACACTTTCTCCTTCTGATGGTTGGTTTTGCATCCCTTCCAAGTAAAGAATCAAGAGCAACATCAGGCTGCTGTGTGGTTCCATGTTTTAAAGAAAAATAATAGCATTTGGTGGCCATCACAAACAGGACCCTGATGTGTTCAGAGAGAATAAATCAAGAATGATTTAATAAGAGCAGAAATTTTGCTCTTGTTAATGCAGAGTCAATGATCATTTCTTTGACAAAAGCTAATGATCATCTTCTCTTTGACAAAAGCAAAAATATTTAAAAAGAAATGAGGCTATACAAACAACAGAGATACAATGCAACTCTTTTTTATTCATTTATTTAAAATCATGCGGTAGAAGAATTATTGCCGGCTTGTGTAACATTTAGGCTATTCAGGCTATTTGTGCTTGGCTAGAGGGTAAAGAGGCAAAATGAAAGCAGGGCAAATGTTTAGGTAGGTTTCAATGGGTTGTAATGGTGCACCAATCACCAAAAAAAGCCTGCAGGAAATGAGCCACGGGGTCGGAAGAAAAAGACCCTGAGGATGACTCTACCTGATCCACTCAGACCATATTCAAACACTGTTAAATCTGGCCTTCCTCATAGTGCACAGGCAACCCATTCTCACAAGCAATGACAATATATCTGGGCGAAGTGTTTTCCCTGTATTCACATGGAGGGAGAATAGAAGATCCTCTCATTTTGCAGGTGGTGACCCGGAACGGCCGCAGGCTACGCTGCAATCTGTTTCCAAAAGGTGTCCCTTCGCTTCCACACACAGCAGTGATTCTGTTCTTTGTATCATGGATGAAAGAGTTCAATGGCTTGCAGTTGGGGTTAGTCATCTCTCGGCTTTGCATCATGGCATTACAGTAGCTTTTGCGCACATTGCTTTTGGGGTTATTGTAGTGCTGCCTGAGGAAGGTTGGATAATTGGTAGCAAAGATGCCCAGGATCAAGACCACAGCCAGGACTACGAAGAACCCAAGGCCAAATCCCTTGAACAGCATGATCAGCTCTGCCACAGAAAGAAGGGAGAAGATGCATGAATATCTCAATCTGATAGTAGTCATTAAAATTGGACCTTTCTATTTTTGCCAGTATGGAAAATATCAAGAAGGCACCTCAGACTGACAAGTAGTAGTTGACACTTGAAATATATTTCAAACACATTGGGGTATAGTTTAAAGCTAATGTGTGATGACCCGGGTCATGGCACAAAGACAATACAGTCAGATAATCAATAAGAATCCCATTATTAGCTCCAACTTTGGCCCCAATGTCCAGGTTACCTTCTGGCTGGAGAAAAACTCTCCCAGGAACAGCCTTTGACTGCAGAGAATTAAGTCCAAAACATGGTCAACACAAACTGTGACTATAAATCCAATCAAGCCAAACTGAGATAATTAGTTTGGCCGGGCAGGAGCAAGAATTCCAGACACGAAGGCATGACAAAACTCACACGGTTGGGAAGATGCCAGGAACACAGATAAGCAAGGACAACACAGGATAAAGTCATGTTTGCTCCTAGCAGCTGCTGCAGTCAACATTCAGTTCTTTTAAACTTTCATTCCCAGGTGTAGCTAATGAAGGGAATCAGGGCCCTTTCCTTCTCCATAAGCCACACAACCCATGTTGTTCTCTTCTCCATTCCTCCATTCCTCCCTGTGTGCCATAGAATGAAGAAGGGGTGGGCCTGGTGGGTCTTCCTCTGAACTCCCTCTCCCTTGTTCTATCTGCCCCCTGCTCTGCCCAGCCAGACTTTGCCCTTCCCCAGCCTCCTCCATAGCCAACAGAGCCACACTCCCAATCCCTGTCAGCTGTTTGTCTTCCTCATCAGATTCAGAGTCTGACGGGGCATGACATAATATTTAGAGACATATGCATTTAAATCTTTGCAAGAGGTCCTAAGGGATGTTAGGCTTAGGGAGGAAACTTGCTTCAGAATCTGCCCAGGGAATTTCTAAGGAAGGCTGTGGAAACAAGCTACTGAAAGTTTTCCAGATTCTCATATTCAGATAAAAGCTACATTAGTTTAAGAGCTGACTTCTCTTGCTGATGAATGGAAGGGCTCTTCACGCATCCTTGAATTGGCAATGTAATATTGTATTGGTATGTGGGAATGGCTTTGGGAGAGAGAAGAAAGAGCCACAGATTAGGCAATGGTTAGATAAGAGGCAGCTGAACTTGGAGAAGGAATGGGAGCAAGGCAAATTTCTCAGAAGGACCCTCCTTACTTCCTTAGTCAAGGAAAGTGACATAGGAGAAATGGACTTTTAGACTAATGCCAAGTAGACTGGCACCTGAGATATAATATCAAATATCCCTATAAGAGAAAATAATACAGTTCTTAGAAGTTATATCAGACTGACATTTGCATCTCAAACTGTCCATCAGCACAAATCTATATGGTTTTGGATTTCCAGAAGTTCTGAAGAGACCTAGATTGAGGAAAGGTGTTTTAGATAAATTTTGAAGGTTGGCTATCCCTAAGTGGCAAAGTGCAAACCACTATCATGTTCTCCAAATATTGGTTATGCTGCTGTGATGTATGCTAGATGGACATTAAAAAAACCCATGATTGGATTGTTGTAATAGAAGAGTTTCTTTGAAGGAAATTAAAAGTCAGTTTAGTTAAGTTCTCTCTCTAACGGACAGGGATGAAACTGTCAATTTAGTATCAAAAATAACAAAGACAATAAACCCCTTAACTATTTATACTGCTGACATTGTTATATCAAAGTAAACCTGTGATTTGGAAGTGTGGGCAGATAAAGAAGGCCAAAGACTGAAAAAAGGACATGAATAAGGATATTTGATTAATATTTCTTCCCTTTCTGTGAACCCTTTAAGGTTAAACTGCACAAAATAGCTTGTCTTACAATATTCCTTTTATAAAATATTCTTGTGGGAAGTCCTCCTACCCCAGAAGAATGAAATATTTTGGGAAATATTAAAAAAGGCAGGCTAGAATATTTCTCCTAAAGGAAAAATGGGAAAAAAATCTTAAGGGAGGCAGAAACCAGCAGCCGTGCCTCCAAGCAGAAACTGAGGAGGCCAGCTTTTACAAATGCAGATTCAGTAATCCATTCAGAAAGATGGGGTCAATCAGGAAACTCTAAATAAGCAATTAGAAAGCCAAAAGGATTGAGAGGATTAGCTCAAAGAAGCACCTAGGATTTGCATTTCCCAATTTGCCTGTAGAGCCAGCCATGACCTCATAGGAATCAGACAACAGCCAATAGAATATTAAAGGACATGTTTTTATACAGGAACAGGAAGCTCAAATACAAAGCCCAAAGAAGATATAAGAACCCACCCACTCTTAACTCCATTTTGTCAGCTGTCCCTGAATCACATGTTTTGCTTCATCAATAAAGGGAATCATTCTTTCCAATCAGTCTTCAGCCTCCATTTTATTTCCAGTGCCTTTCTCCCAGATTGGAACTGAACCAGATGGATTTCCCTTCCAACATTCTTTATCAATCTTCAAGATTGTATCAAAAAGCAAGAACAATAAAACAGTAGTCAAACTAGCAAAAGAAAAAAAAAGAAGATGAATAAATAAAAGTAGATATCAAGCACCCTTTGGAATGAAACAAATAAAATCTTTACCTATTTACTCCTAAGGTGACTCCCATCAGCCACTGTTTGCTTAACTTAAAAATTCCCAGCTTTCAGGAGAATCTTTGAAGAAGAATCAAATGAACAGGAAGTCAAAAGAATGGAAAGGCTGAGTTTGAACATGCTTTCAGGGTTCCAGAGAAAAGAGAAGAGAAATTCATGGATTTCCTAGATCCAAGAGATCAATAATTCCAAACAGTAGATTGAAATTATAAGGAATAGATTTGAGCCAAATCTGGAAAGTGAGTTTAGACGTCAAAATATGGAAGGAGCAGCTCCTATAGAAAAAGTGAAGTGGAAGATAGAAAGATCTTATTGTAGATCCTGTGGAATGGATTGAATGCAATAATCCAAATGCCCCCTCCAGTTTTGGTTTAAGGATTGATTATCAAGGTTGACTAGAAGTCCACCCTAGATGCTTTCAAAAAGATTTTCTGCCCCTGTGATTCTTCATTTTACTTCCTCTTCCATTCATCATGTCCCAGGGAAAATCTCTAACCATTTTAGTATCTCACCTGAAAGTCCGGGAGTGTATGTCTCCCTTTTGATTTTTCTCAGTTGCTTTGCAGAAAAAAGCAGGCACAAGTTTTCTCTGAGAGTTGTCTTTTCTCCTCTGTAGAATTTGTTGTTGGAGGCAAACAGAGAGAAAGGGAATAACTTTCCCTAAATCCTAAAGTGCCAAAATATTTCATAATTTTGCCTCTGGGGGAGGTGGGGGGAGGCAGGACTATAAAAGGGAAAGTGTAATAAACAACAAGCAGTGCAGAAATGCAGAATAAGTGGGTTCTAAAAACATTGCTATTTAACAAGAACAGCTGGCTTTTATTTTTCCTTTATCTTCCTTGATTTATTGAGATTTTAACTCTGTGATAATAAATTAGGTAGTAAGCATGCTCTGCCCATGCATCTAGAAATGTTAACGTAGAACAAAAGGACAGAATGAGGTAAAATTACTCTTTTATTTTCCTAACAATGAAAAAAAATCTGGACGTGATTTAGTCAGTGGGGGAAAAACACTAGCAATTTGTTACTTAAGACAGGTTATATCCCAATTTTAGAAGTATTAGATGGGTCAACCTATTTTCCAAAGCACCAGAAAGCAAGACAAGAAATAATGGATGGAATCCATTGGATGAGAAGTGAAATGTCTTCAAGAAAGTCCAGCTGTTTTTGAAAAAGCTCCTTTGGAACAGCCATGACCTGTATGATTGATAATCTCCATAGACAATGGATGGAAACTAATAAGAAGAGAAACAACCTAAAATTAAGGAGAAATTATCTAATAATGAGAACAATTAACCAGTGGAATGGCTTGTTTTCAGTTGTGATTGCTCTATCACTGGAGGGTTTTAAGAAGAGTTTGGACAGGCACTTTGGTGGAATGGTATAGGATCACCTTCTTGAGCAGTTGTTTGGACTAGAAGACCTCTAAGGTCCCTTCCAACACTTTTAGTCTCTTAATTAATGAAAGAAATCTGCTACAAGAAGATCATATACACTGACCACAAACATTGGCATGAAAAGTAGCAACAATGGTGCACTGGGAGATATTCAACACCACAGACAATACTACTACCCTCCAAAAAGACCTTGACTACGTATCAGAATGGTCAATCAAATGGCAACTTCAAATCTCAACAAATAAATGCTCTGTCTTACATATTGGCAAAAAAAATATCAGAAAATAAAATACAAGCTAAATAGTCAAGACCTTGTTGAGAATCCTCTGTCAAGGATCTTGGAGTTCTCATCTCTAATGATCTAAGTGCTAGAGCCCACTGTAACTATATAGGCAAAAAGGCATTAAGAGTTGTTAATACAATCCTAGGTAACTTCTCTGGTAATATCACACTGCTAACTAGAGCATACAAAACATTTGCTTGACCTATACTTGAATACAGCTCATCAGTCTGGAACCCAAATAATGTATCTGATATTAACACAACTGAGAAAGTCCAGAAATATTTCACAAGAAGAGTTCTTCACTCCTCTACTCATTGCAGAATACCTTGTGCCACCAGACTTGAAATTCTAGACCTAGAAAATCTAGAACTACTCCACCTTTGGTCCGATCTAAATATAGTATATAAAATCATACATTGCAATGTCCTACCTGCAAATGAATACTTCAGCTTCAACCATAACAATACAAGAGAAAACAATAGATACAAGGTTGATATAAACTCAAGGTTAACTGCATCAAACTTGATTGCAGAAAATACGACTTCAGCAACAGAGTGGTCAATGTCTGGAATACTCTACCTGACTCTGTGGTTTCTTCCCCAAACCCCAAAAACTTTAACCTTAGATTGTCTACTATTGACCGCACCCACTTCCTAAGAGGCCTGTAGGGGGGGTGCATAAGTGCACCAATCGTGCCTACCATCCCTGTCCTATTGTTTCTTTTTATTTTCCATCTCATGTATTCAAAACTATGTTTATTCTTATACCTGTATCTTGTAAGTGATTGACAAATCAAATCAAATCAATAAATAAATAAAATACCAGTTTCTGCAAGCAAGAACTATAAGGACTGCAAAATAAACAAATAGAAAATGAAGAAGCTAAAATACTCTGGGACTTTAGAATTCAAACAGACAAGTACCTGCTACATAACATCCCAGACTTAATAATTGTCAAAAAGAAAGACAGAAAAGTCTGGATAGTGATGCAATAGTAAGGCGCTCATGAGTGTGAATCTGATGCACCAACTCTTCAATACCTCATTGATTATAAGGTGGCATACATTAAAAGTGTCATATTTACTTATTATCTACCTTATCTATTTTTTGCTTACAGGTAATCCTTGCTTAGCTATCATAAGTAGAATCCATGCTTTTGCCTCTAAGTGCTGTGGTCACTGAATGAAATATCACATGACATTGATGGACTTACCATGACACTTCTCTTGAGGTCACTAAGTGAATCACCTGTGGTCATTATGTGTAATAATTTGTGATTTTATTGCCAGCTTCTCCACTGACTTTATTTAATTGTGGAAACACACAAGTGGTGATCACAGAACCACAGGATACTACAATGATCATAAATGCCCACCATTTTGAAGTGCCAGAATGTCAACCACATGACTGTAGAGATGCTGCATAGGTCATAAATATACAGAGTAGTTATATAGATGCTTTTTTGGTGGTGTTAAAATTGAAGATGATTAAATGAAGCAAGTAAGCAGGGGCTATTATAGACAGTTTCTCAGGTTAATTTCCTCTTCATATTTGTTTTTACAGATGCTCTATCTTGCTATTTATATCAATTTCTAATAAGATTTAATAGCTGGGCTATTATGCATGCTCTTAAATATTCATTCATTTAAGCAAGTAATAGTCATTCATTTGCAATGAACTCCAAATTCTGGTCTGTGTTTGTGATAAGATATTGATTTCAATGGATTCTGGATGGTGTGCAAAAATATTCCATGCAAATTGATAACATCTAAATTCACAAAGATAGACCAGACTAAAACAATTTAAAGATGACACAAATCAAATGAAACAAAAGAGGACACCCCTCCCCCAAATATAATACACTAGCTGGATACCCATGCTTTGCCACCAAACTATGTGATCAGGCTATGCAGTAGAAATTTGGTTCACAATCTGTTGGCTCAATGGTGGTCAGTGATTGAAACACATAAGGGTTTCCTTTCCTTTTTTCCCCTTTCCTTTCCTTTCCTTTCCTTTCCTTTCCTTTCCTTTCCTTTCCTTTCCTTTCCTTTCCTTTCCTTCTTTCCTCCTTTCCCTTCTTTCCCTTTCCTTCTTTCCTCCTTTCTCTTCCCTTCTTCCTTTCTCTTCCTTTCCCTTCCTCCTTTCCCTTCCCTTCCCTTCCCTTCCCTTCCCTTCCCTTCCCTTCCTTTCCTTTCCTTTCCTTTCCTTTCCTTTCCTTTCCTTTCCTTTCCTTTCCCCTTTCCATTCTTTTCCATCTATCCATCATCTATCTATCTGTCTGTCTGTCTGTCTGTCTGTCTGTCTGTCATCTATCTATTCAATACAATCCTCCAACTGTCGTCCCAAAGGTGGTTTTCTTTCAGGAGACAATTGGACTTTCTGGTTTTTCTTTGAAGATGTTTTGTTTCTCATCCAAGGAGCTTCTTCAGCTCTGACTGGATGGTGGGTAATAAAATTACAACAAACTTTGATGCCAAAGTAAGTTTCCTGCTTGGAAGTGTAGTTTGCATCCTTTTAGAGAGTCATTGAGGCAACTTGGAGGTTTGTCTATGTCCTTGGGTCACCTGAGTGGTGCAAATGGCTGTGGAGCTACTAGGTAATAGAATGTGAGGTAAAGGAATGTGAGGCAAATGGCAATTGGAACAGAGTTCTTTTCAGGTGGGGAGGGGAAGTAGAACTCCTTAGCATCAGAGTGTGTTAATCACTGTGTTAAGAAATACTAATGATCTGAAGGTCATTTCGAAAAATCCTTTCTTAACAAGCACCTAGAAGCCAAGAGAAACATACCAAATTTCAAATGTGTAGGCTTTACAGTTCTGGAGATTTCGTGATGATACATAAGTGGTATTTCACACACACTCACATTCACACTCACACTCACACACACACACACAAACACACACACACACCACACACACACACACACACACATATTAATCCACTTTTCCTATTACTATCATAAAACTGCTTTTTATATCTAACTAATCCTAATTCTAATTCCAATTCCAACTCTCAAAAATTCTTACATTCATGTAGAAACCTTCCAGCAAAAATGCCAAAGCTTTGGCAGTGACTTTTCCCCACAAGCTGAAATGATTCCCCACCCCTCACACAAGTATGATTCTCACCAGAGTTCTTTTTAGCAAGATAGTAGAAAAAAAAATCCAGCAAGGGAGCTAATGTCCAGTTCTGTGACTTTTTCTCATAACATTAGGGTGCATAAAGTAGTGGGTTTTCTTTACACATAGGGAATACTATAGTAAGGGGCTTATATAAGATGGTGGCTCAACACTATCAAAATGGAGGGCATATCTCACCCTTTTTAACCTATTGCCTGCCTCAACCACATTTACAAAAGGAATGGATTTCAATATATTTATTTGTATTACAAATAACTCAAGGAGGCGAACATATCCAACACACCTTCTTCCTTCTATTTTTCGACATAGAAACCCTGTGAGGTAGTTTGGGCTGAGAGAGAATGACCCACCCAAGATCACCCAGCCAGCTTTCAAGACTAAGGCAGGACTTGAACTTGCAATCTCCTGCTTTCTAGTCATTTTAAGATTGTTGACCCCCCACTCTGAAGTGTAAAACAAACAAGTTGAAAACAACTACACTCTGGTAAGGCCAAGCACAAAACCTATGGAGGACCTTTGCCATTGAATGATATTTCTACAGTCTTTCACAGGCTAGAACAGTGTTTTTTGAAGTTGGCAACATTAAAATATGTGGACTTCAACTCCCAGAATTCCACAGCCAGTTGGTAATGATATATGATGTCTCTGAGAAGCATTCTTGGATAAATTAGTGATGAAGAAGGTGACCTTGGAGAAATCTTCAGGTGTTGCAGCAAAATTCAAAAATCTTCTTGCTTTTCACCATTCACTGAAATGGGCTGGGGGGCTGGAGATCCAGTTCTGTTTTCACTGTATCTATTTCATCATGATCAGCAGATGTGGCATTGTTGGCTTCATTTAATGAAAGGTGAGGTAGCCCCAGATAGAGTGGGTGGTTTCTTTCAATTTTACAGATTTCTGAAACAAACAGGGGCATCTATATGGTTGTCAAAAAAGTCATGTTCATGGCTTCAAACATATGATTAAAAGTCTATCATCTGAGTTTTGAAGGGATCTTGGGGGTCTTCTAGTCCAACCCCTTGCTCAAGCAGGAGCCTCTATACCATTTTAGACAAAATGATTGTCCAATCTCTTGTATGTTATGCAAGTCTTAATTTGCACAGTAGGGACACTGCCTTGGGTTTTTTTGAGGCTCATTCCATAGATGCAAGGGAATGCAAAGAATTCTAGTATGTAATGGCAAAGCAAAAAATATAAATAAAAAAATGTGAGTATATCATTATAATATCAAAGGAGTCTTCCTCCCCAAGAATCTTTTCCATGGAGGAGTGATTATGAAATCTCAGCCAGGCCTCAAGAGTTACCACATTGTCACAATTGCATCTCCATCAAAGTCAACAGGCCTTTTCCCCTCACAAACAGAAATGAACTTAGAAGTGTGATTCTACACTATACCTGTGCAGATTAGCTGTACTTGTTTTTTTTTAAACAAAGAACCATGTTTTCAAGAACCATGCTAAAAATCACATCTTGCTCTTGGCTAAAGAGCTCTTCAGATGTATATAAATGAGCACTAGTTCTTGTTTCCTGAAGGACTTCCACATTGTCCTTACTCAGAGGCATTCTGTCTCTTCTCAGGCATTGATATCTCTTTCAATTGTGGTTTTGGCAGTGATAAGGGAACATCATTGCTCAAATCCAGCTGTGAAATATGTTCATGCAGAAACATGCCCTCTTCCAGAATGTCATTGCATATGTGAACTTTTTTTCTCTTTTGAAATTAAGCTCTGTCCATGCTCACTTCCTCTTTTTCGGAGGGAGGACGGGGGCCACTTGCAGTTCTTTCCTGCTCCCTTCTCCCTAGTTGCATCTTGCAGCTTTTCATATAATTTTATATAATGATCTATATAATGGGCTTCTTGGGGCAGAAGGACAGAGGAAGACAGAAGGTTGAGAACCCATCTCTTCCACAAGATCTCATTCAGGCGAGTAAAAGGCCAGGGAAGGCTAAAATGAAGATATTATTTTCTTATGGAAGACATTTGGTTCATCACAGAACTGGGTTAGGCTGCTGAATATGTAGAAACTTTAAAAAAATCTTGGGTTACTAAGGTACTTCCTTTATAGAGCTTGTACTACAGTAAAGGAATGATACCACCTTTCTCATGGTCTCGACTTCACTCCCGCCAAGCTCATGAGTGAAATAGACTTAATACCTAATATTAAAGGAGTATTTCCCCCTTAATTCTAACTCTATCCAAAGATAGCCTCAGAGAATATAAGGCTATTTTGGGGACAGAAATCAGACGAATGGGGTGACTAGAAACAATAAAGAGGGAGTAAAGATTGAGTGAAGGTTCCCAAGAAATAGAAATAATTTTTGTCAGCCTTGCCTGGTAGGCCAGACAAGAAGCAATCCAGGAATACTAGCTCTAACTTTATTGTAAGTTTACTTTAAATGTACTTGCAAGCAGTGGTGGGATTCATTTTTTTTACTTCCAGTTCTGTGGGTGTGGCTTGATGGGCATGACAGGGGAAGGATACTGTAAAATCTCCAATCAGAGCTGGTATTTGCTGGTACTCAAAATTTCTGCTACCAGTTCACCAGTACTGGTCAGAACTTGCTGAATACCACCGCTGCTTGCAAGTCTGAAAGAACATCTCCCCTCTGTCACCTTTACAATCCAAGAAATTTTCTAAGACAGGGGTCACCAATCTTTTAGATCCCAGGGATCACCAAACTCATAATTTCAAATCCTGCAGACCAGAGACCCTGGAAAAATTGCAAGAAAAGTCTGCAGGAAAATTCCCTGCCCCATTTTCCTATCAATTGATCATCCTTTATTTGGGATCACAGGATACTGTCTCCAGCTCTGTTCTGAGAGAGAGAGAGAGAGAGAGAGAGAGAGACTCTTTTGGTTTCATGCAAGGAAAGCAGCAGAAGCAGCAGAAGTCTTTCTTTCTCTCCCCCAAACTCTGCCAAAAATGAGTTTTTGTGAGACTTGTGCTGGCACAGCCTCTTGAAGCAGGATGCCTTGCAGGGTCCCAAAGACCATTTCTGGCAGAGTTTGGGGGAGAGAAAGGAAAACTTTTGCTGCTTTCCTTGCGTGCAGCCAAAAGCAGAAGACATGGAAAGAAGCAGCCCGGTAGCCAGGCAAGGTGTGTGAGGTGAATGGGGCAAGTTCCCACTCTCTGCCCTTTCCCCCCCTCTCCTCACTACCTTATGTTGTTTGCAATGCAAGTGACGCAAGCCTTTGTTCCCACAGGCCATGTGGGTGGCGCAGCCTTGTGTTCCCATGCAGCCTGGATTAATTGCTTTGGGGAGTGTTTTGGGGGTGACATTTCTCTTCAGACCACCAAAATTTTGTCACGGACCACCAGTTGTCCCCCACCCATTGGTTGGCAACCACTGTTCTAAGAAGTTTATCTTGCCCCCATTCCTTTTGTTGACAGCTGCCATACCAGATTGTTGCCTAGTTTGTGGCTGTTTCTTCTATCTCCCAAAGTCATTGCCCACACCATTTCAATACTGCATTGTAGAGCAGGGGTGTCAAACTCAAGGCCCTGGGGCCAGATCCAGCACATGGAGTGCTTAGATCTGACCTGCAGGGCCACCCTGGAAGCAGCAAAGGACTGGCCCATCGTGTCTCTGCCAGTGAAAATGGTTTCATTGTCAGAGGGTTGTAGGAGGTCACCGTAGCCGAAAACATTTTAACTGGCAGAGCACTCAGACCCCCACAGGTGCCTCTGACATGAATGATGTCAAGCTGGCCATGGTTCCCCAAGGTGAAACACAACCCTAGGGCAGACCTCAATAAAATTGAGTTTGACTCCCCTGTAGTAGAGGCTTCTGCTAATTCAGGAATGTTCGAAGAGCCCTTCCATTCAACAGCAAGGGAAGTCAGTTCTGAATATGACAGCCTGGAAAACGTTCAGAGGCTTATTGTCCCAAAGATGCTTTTTCAAGAGGCAACTGAACTTTCTGCTTTCTTTTTGAAATCATTTCACTTCTCATCCAAGAAGCTTCTTCAGCTCTGTTGCATAGATAGATAAATGTGTATGGAGATTCTCAGTCATCTGGGTCATGGCTGACCAGTGCTTTGGATGAGAAGTGAAACATTTTCAAAGAAACAGTTGAAGAAGTTTCTTGGATGAGAAGCAAAATGTATTCAAATAAAAATCAGAAAATCCAGTGGCCTCTTGAGACCCCTTTGGGACAGTGGTGGTATTTAATTTTTTTTACTACTGGTTCTGTGGCAGTGGCTTGGTAGGCGTGGCAGGGGAAGGACACTATAAAATCTCCAGTCAGAGGTGGGATTTGCCAGTTCTCTGAACTACTCAAAATTTCCGCTACTGGTTTTCCGGAACTGGTCAGAACCTGCTGAATACCACCTCTGGTTTGGGACTATGACCTGGGTGACTGAAAATCTCCATAGACATTTACATGTCAGTGGCTTGTTTCCTTAGAAGTAGCCTTAGAAGTAGCCTTTCTTACAAATTCCTTGCATAAGATTTTGAAGCAAATGCCCTCCCTGCTTGACATTCCCCCGGAGTACTTGCAGGGATTTAAATGTCTATTTTCCTAAACATATATCTCTGAACTATACCCCACTCTGATGGGATTCAGTGGTGGGATTTAAATTTTTTTACTACCAGTTTTGGCCGTGGCTTGGTGGGTGTGGCATGGGAAGGATACTGTGAAATCTCCAGTCAGAGGTGGGATTTGCCGGTTCTCTGAACTACTCAAAATTTCCGTTACCAGTTCTCCAGAACTGGTCAGAACCTGCTGAATGCCACCTCTGACTGCGTTTGAAATATATTTCAAATGCCAAGGACTACTTGTCCATTTGAGGTGTCTTCTAGATATCAAATACTTTCCATATTGGCAAAAAATAGAAAGGTGCATTTCAGGGCTAGGTATTTTAATGGTTGTTGTCAAATTGAGATATTTACGCATCTTATTTCTTTCTTGTGTGGCAGAGCTGATCTTTCTGCTCAAGGGATTTGCCATTGGACTCTTCATAATCATGGCTGTGACCTTGATTTTGGACATCTACACTGTGGATTATAAAAGATTCCTGAGGGAGCACTATGATAGCCCCAAAAGCAAAGATGGAGATAGTTACTGCAATGAAATCATGCAAAAGCGTGGGTTGAGTGGTCCCAAATGCAAGATGATGAACACTTTCATCCATGATACGAAGAAAAAAATCATTGACGTATGCGGAAACCAAGGAGTACCTTTCAGAGGCAGATTGCGGCGTAGCAAGGCCCAGTTCCAGGTTACCACCTGTAAAACAACAGGATTTTTGGACAAACCCCCTTGTTATTACAGGGAAGATGCTTCATCCAGATATATTGTCATCGTTTGTAAGAATGGGTTGCCTGTGCACTATGAGGAAGGCAAAAACTACCGGTATTTCAAATTGATCTGAGTGCATCAGATAGTGTCTCCCTCAAGATGGCTGCTCTTCCATGGGAAAAATCTTATCTCGTGGCTCATTTCCTGAAGACATTTCATGACCTGTACACCATTGCTACCATTGTAATCTATCTAGATATTTGCTCTGCTTTTACTTTGTCTCTTTACCTTTCAATCAGGAAGAAACCAACATTCTGAATATGCTAAATTTTGTACAAGCCAACAATAGTTCCTATATCAAATGCTTTTAAAAGAATGAATAAAAATTTGCATTGTATCTCTGTTTTTTGTGTAGCTTCATTTCATTTTAATTAATTTTGCTTTTCCCAAGGGGGGGATGATCAGATTCATCCTGTATTAAGCTGGCAAAATTTTCTGCTCTTATTAAATAGTTCTTGATTCATTCTTTCTGAACACATGTCAGGGTCTTGTTTGTGATAGCCACCAAATTTTATTCTTTTTCTTTAAAACACAAATGGCTCTTCTGAAACAACACAGCAGCCTGATGTAGCTCTAGATTCTTTATTTGGAAGGGATGCAAAACCAACCATCAGAAGGAAAATGTGTAGTACAGGTAAAATGCTTTAGCTGTATTCACATAAGCCCTGATGAGCTAGTGTCAAGCAATCCTAGATCTAGTGGCTATCTTAGAAGGTTACTCAAAATGTCTATTTTTATTTCATTGTTTTAACCCAATGAAGGGGCTCATTGGTTACAACAATAAAATGGCCAGACTATTTTAAAAAAAAGAGGTGGGGGGAGAGCTCTCATAATGGAGAAACATTCTGAAAGAGAGTATACCCAAAGTATACTCAAAGAGTAGAGTGCCTCTGAATAAAGGCTCCTTCTGTAAATGTGCTCACTTGTACACATCTGAAGAGTTGACAAGGATAAAGATGCAATTTCCAGCATGGTTCTTACATTAAAAAGAAATATAGCTAATCTGCACTTCTATATTTGTGTGGAACGAATCACATCTCTAGATTCATACGTGTTTTTAAAGATGCAAATTCTCAAGTGGAATTTTACAAAAAGAAAAACAGTGTAAGTACCATGTGAGAGGGGCATGTGCAGAACTGTCATGGTCATACACCACTCAGTATCAAGGATGCAGCTATACTGGTGGTCAACAGTATCAGGTATCTGGGGGTGCAGACAACCAACAATCCAGAGGTGGGCTGCACTTACGTTACCAACCAGTTCATTGGTTGTGAGTGCCTTTGTGTTCAGCCCCTTTGGACTGAATTAGAGCTTTGAATATGCATCTAATCAACTCAGATGGCTCTGGTGAGTACAGCAGGGGTGGCACAGGATAGGTGAGGGGAACAAGCCAAATATAGTTAAACAAGTTAAATATAGAAAGTATAGTGCAGAGGTGATTGGGCGGGTCCAACCAGTGATCACAACTGTGGGTTCACCCAAACCCATTGTCAACTAAAAATCAACTAAAGATATTCCTTTGGTCTTTTTAGCTGCCAGAAAAAGGGAGTGGGGGAAAACAAGGCATTCTTGAAAAACCTAGATAATCACCTTGGCAGCCCAAAGTTGTCGGAGCATAAAAAGGTTATTGGAGAGCATGATGCATGACTCTTGGAGATGGATGTGTCCTATTGGAGAAGTCACATCCAGGGGGTGGGGGCAAGGCCAGGGTCAAGGGGGAAATGTATTATATGATTTAGCATTGGCTGCACCCAGCCACATGCCAACATGGCACTTTCTAATAAACCAATTTACTTTTTCTAAGAAGCAGCTAGAGACTTGCTTTGAATGAGCTCTGACACCCGTGTGACCATTCAGCAGCCCACCACTGTAACACTCTGAAGTGGTCTTTCCACACATCCTTAGTGAAGCATGCAAACCAGTGTCTGCATTTCCTGTGTCAGATGAGGAGAGCAAATCTTTCCCTTTCTGTCCTGGCCACTTCTTACAGAGGCACAGTTGAGAGCATTTTAACACACTGCATCACTGTTTGGTTTTGGTGGCTGTTAGGAATTGATAGTCACCTAATAGTTGGATTGGAAATATATGAACCAGAATAGACTTTTAATCCTGTCTCTTTAAGGGAATGATGTAATTGTAATTGAGTGTGGTTTCTCAGTTGGCCATAAGATGGAGCCAGAAACCTGGGTTGTTCTGTTCTGTTGTTGCTAGATGTTCTGATGTTCCATGTTGATTGGTTTGCATTTTTCCCTATTGACTGTTGCTGATCGTTGTTCCTCTTGGATTGCTGTAAGTCTGTTACTGAACTGTTTATGATATTGGACTTTGTTATTTGGATTATCCCTGGACTGAACACTGACTGCTTTAACTGTGAATGATTTGGACTGTTTGTTGGACTTTGCTTAACCGTTTACCGGAAGTAAAACCTACATTTTACTATTCAGTGTATCTGTGTGCTGGTCGTGTGTTATTCAACATCACTCTCACTACGTCTCCCTGTGTGCACTCATTCTCCTAATGGGGAATTACCTCAACACTGGTTATGGGCCAAGGCCATACCAGGCTCAGATAACTGAGAGTTAGTGTGAATACACAGTATCATATACAGACAGCTGTTTACTGTTTAATTGTGGGTTACGATCCTGGTAAAGATGGCACAAGACCCATCAACAAGTCTATCACTGATAACCCAGTTGGATGGAACAAACTATGTTTCCTGGTCTATGAAGTACAGTCTACTTCTGCGTAGAGAATGGTTATGGAATATAGTTCAAGATCCACTGGATGTAAATGCTTGGGATCCAGATAATGAGGATGATGCCAAGAAGTTAGCTGACTTTAAATGGAACAACGAACAATCTCTTTGTATAATTGGACTAACACTGAGTGACCAGCAGCTAGTCCATACTCATGGAGAAGAGTCTGCTGCTAGGTGTTGGGAGAATTTGAAGATGATTTATGATCGTGAGAGCGTAGATGCACACATACATCTTACACGTAAGCTGTTTAGAGCACGTCTTCTGAAAGGTGGAGATACGTTAGCTCATTTGAACTTCATGAAAATAACTTTTCAAGAGCTACATGAAAAGGAACTGATATTTTCAGAGCTGCATCAGGTTTACATCATTCTTTCCACTTTGGATGAAAGTTATGATGATTACGTATCTTCACTGGAAGTCCTGCCTGGAGATAAACTGACATGGACTGACATAACCGGAAGATTGTTGGAAGAGGCAAGAAGACGGCTGGATAGGGACCAACTGAGGAAGAAACAACCACAAGAAAAAGATTTGTGTTCAACTGCCTATACTTTTAGGAAATGTTATTCTTGTGGGGGTAGGGGACATATAGCTAGATTCTGTAAGAAGGGAAAACGACAGAATACTAGTAATCACCAGAATGATTAAGAATGTTAATTTAGCTATGTCTACCAATTCAACTGTAAACCATGATTTGTGGGTAGTTGATAGTAGAGCATTGCAGTGCATTACTAGAAATAGAGAGAGGTTTGTAAAGATGTCCACAAGTAAGCAACATGTATCATTGGTGAATGGATGGAAGATGAAAGCATTTGGTGAAGGTACTGCATATTGTTTATGTGTAAATGAGCATTTAACTATATTGTATGTACCTAAACTGAAATTTAATTTGTTATCAGTAAGGGCTTTAGTTATATTGGTTATGTAGTAACCTTTAGGGGAGATAATTGTATAATTGAGAAAGAGGGTAAAAGTGTTACTGCTACTTTAAAGAATGATTTATATGTGATACATGATGACCTGTTGCAGATGGCTAACTCAGTTTATAACAATGTTAAGCCACATGATGAATGTATACATTTACTGCATAGATGTCTGGGGCACATTAATTTCAAAATGCTCAAACAAACTGTTGAATTGTCAGAGGGAGTAAAATTAAAACCCTGTAGCAAGTAC